ATCCAACCTTCAGCACCTGATACACCTCAACAGAATGGTGTATCAGAAAGGAGAAATAGAACCCTATTAGACATGGTTCGATCTATGATGAGTTATGCTCAATTGCCTGCCTCGTTTTAGGGTTATGTAGTAGAGACTGCAGTACACAGTTCCATCAAAAAGTGTTTCTGAAACACCTTTTGAACTATGGAGGGGACGTAAATCTAGTTTACTCACTTCAGAATTTGGGGATGTTCAGCACATGTGTTAGTGACAAACCCGAAGAACTAGAATCTCGTTCAAAAGTGTGCCTATTCGTACGTTACCTCAAAGAAACGAGAGGTGGACTCTTCTTTGATCCACAAGGAAACAAAGTGTTTGTATCGACAAACTTTACATTCTTGGAAGAAGACCACATTAGAGATCATAAACCACAAAGCAAGGTTGTGTTAAATGAGATTTCCGATGAAGCTACAAATACATCAACAAGAGTTGTTGATAAAGCTAGCACTTCAACAAGAGTTNAAGAAGACCACATTAGAGATCATAAACCACAAAGCAAGGTTGTGTTAAATGAGATTTCCGATGAAGCTACAAATACATCAACAAGAGTTGTTGATAAAGCTAGCACTTCAACAAGAGTTGTTAATGGCGCTAGTACATCACGTCAGTCGCATTCATCTCAAGAGTTGAGAGTGCCTCAGCGTAGTGGGAGGACTGTGTCACAACCTGATCGTTACGTGGATTTAATAGAAATCCAGGTCGTCATACTTGATGATTGCGTTGAGGATCCATTGACATACAAAAAGGCAATGAAAGATGTTGATAAGGACAAATTGATCAAAGCTATGGACCTTAAAATGGAGTCTATGTACTTCAATTCTGTCTGGGACCTTGTAGATCAACCTGATGGGGTCAAACCTATAGGTTGTAAATGGATCTACAAGAAAAAACGAGACGCCGAAGGAAAGGTACAGACCTTTAAGGCTAGACTCGTGGCAAAGGGTTACACCCAAAGGGAATGGGTGGACTATGAGGAAACCTTCTCCCCAGTTTCCATGCTAAAGTCTATAAGAATACTCTTGTCCATTGCCACATTTTATGACTATGAAATTTGGCAAATGGATGTCAAGACTGCTTTTCTAAATGGCAATCTTGAAGAAAGTATTTATATGTCTCAACCAGAAGGGTTCATTAAGCAAGGTCAAGAGCAAAAGGTTTACAAGCTTAAACGATCCATTTATGGATTAAAACAAGCATCTCAATCTTGGAATATAAAATTTGATACCGTAATCAAGTCTTATTGTTTTGACCAGAATGTTGAGGAGCCTTGTGTATATAAGAAGATCATCAACAACACTGTAGCTTTCTTGGTGTTGTATGTGGATGATATCCTACTCATTGGGAATAATGTAGGTTTACTAACTAACGTAAAGAAGTGGCTAGCAACTGAATTCCAAATGAAAGATTTTGGAGACGCTCAGTTTGTTCTGGGGATTCAAATCATAAGGAATCAAAAGAACAAAAAGCTAGTCTTGTCTCAGACAACTTATATCGAAAAAATGTTTGTTAGATATTCGATGCAGAATTCCAAGAACGGTATACTACCTTTCAGACATGGAATCTATCTGTCTAAGGAATATTGCCCTAAGACACCTCAAGAAGTTGAGGATATGAGACGCATTCCCTATGCTTCAGCAGTGGACAGCCTGATGTATGTCATGTTGTGTACTAGGCCTAACATCTGTTATACAGTAGGGATTGTCAGTAGGTATCAACCCAATCCAGGATATGATCACTGGAATGCCATTAAAGGTATCCTCAAGTATCTTAGGAGAACGAGGAACTATATGCTTGTGTATGGCGCTAAGGATTTGATCCTTACAGATTACACTAACTCTGATTTACAAAGTCATAAAGATTCGAGAAAATCCATTTCAGGATTAGTGTTCACTCTTAATGGAGGAGCTGTAGTATGGCAGAGCATCAAACAAGGCTGCATCGCAGACTCCACAATGGAGGCCGAATATGTTGCCGCTTGTGAAGCAGTAAAAGAGGCGGTGTGGCTTAGAAAGTTCTTAACTGATTTGGAAGTTTTTCCAAACATGACTTTGCCCATCACATTTTACTGTGATAACAGTGGTGCAGTGGCAAATTCTAAAGAACCCTGAAGTCACAAAAGAGGCAAGCACATCGAGAGTAAGTATCACTTGATACGAGAAATAGTGAAACGAGGGGACGTGATCGTCACGAAGATCGCTTCGGAGCATAACATCGTTGATCCGTTTACAAAGGCTCTTACGACTAAAGTATTTGAGGGCCATCTAAATAGTCTAGGCCTATGAGATATGTACAATATAGTCTAGGACAAGTGGGGGACTTGTAAAGTGTATAGTGTATGCCCTAATTTATTGTATTTGTACTTTATTGTACAACCCACTGTTGCTTTTAGTTTTTGTACACCCTACTATAGTTTAGTTCAAGTGGGAGTTTGTTGAGTTTTATGCTCTAAACTCGTGGTTTGTAAACATAAAACAAATATTCATTCAATAAAGTTGTTATTGATAGAATTGTATTAACCTAAATCCAATAAAACTAACATCCGAGATTATGTTATGTAACAGGAACAGTATATAACAGATATACATTATAAATTTAATATACAACATATATATTTGATATACAGTGTATATATACAGTATATATTTGATATACAAGTAGATAATGTTCCAGTAGTAACCTAAAGGGTTTATAGTATATGGATAAGGTACCTTATCCAGGTAACACTATGGATACGACCTACTTTGTAAAGTTACAAATGACTTGATCCAGGTCGTTCGTGTAGAGACATGCGAGTGGGGGTATTATATACAATGAGTTTGTATAAGACCGGACCACGAAATAATTAATCTTTAGCTATAACACAGTTAGTTAATAGATTAATATTTCAATAGGATGACTAGGTAACTCAATCTCAATCCTAAGTGAGTTATGGACTCCTGCCTGTTAGGACTCGTCCTTTGATTTGTATGGGTGAGAGTGGATCGAGTCGCCGACTCAATATGTCTATCATCTTGGGGACGAGATCGAGTGGGGAGCTGGGAGCATAACTACACAAGATGAAATTCACTCCTTCCCGACTTCAGGGTAAGTATATGAGTGTTCTCTTGAGTACTGACTTTGGGACTTGAACAAGGGGCCCCACCCTCTCACTAGCTCGAGAGGGACTTCCAGTTATTGGTTTAACCATAACCGGGTTGTTTATTAGAGGATCAGCAGTACTTAAGGTACAAGATTTAACACAGGGGTAAAATAGTAATTTGACCTAGCTGTGGTTACGAACACTCGTGAAGGATTGACTTACCGTTAATGGTCAAAATCCATGGACGCAAAATATTCTACAGTGAGAAGAGTATAACTGTGGGTCTTTAGTGGAGTGACCGACTGTTAAGGAATGTTGATTAATATGATTAATGAGTTTAATCAATTAATCTCGTATCGTTGGAGCTTCCGATCTGTAGGTATATTAGATCCCCTTACTAGCTCGTAAAGGATTATTAAGAACAGCTAGTCTTGAAAAGAATTTGAATTGTTCAAATTATTTAAAGGGAATTAAAGTTAATTGTATGAGATGCAATTAATATAATGTATGTTGATACATTATAATATAAAGTTAATTTTTTGAATTTGATTCAAAATTATGAGAGAGATGGATATTAGAATTTGATTCTAATATAGTTGATTAATTTAAGTTTAATTTAATTAAATATGATTTAATTAAATTAATGTGGTGTATTAATTTGTTTAAATTAAATTAGATTTAATTTAATTAAATTAATAATTCTTTTTTTTGTAATTAATTAAATTAGATTAAATTAATTATTATTTTAATTAAATTTGTTTTAATTAAAATAAAAGAAAAAAAAATAGAAAACGAAAATGGGAGAAAAGCTCCCAATGGTGGAAAGATGAGCACAAACACAAGTAAAAGTTTGAGATAGAAAGAAAGTATAAAAAATGTTTTTGTTAATAAAAATAATCCGATCACAAAAGAACAAATATGTAATACGTACAAATGAGCAATTTAATCACAATTCTGTGTGGCGTGTCTCTATTATGGATAAAAAGTCATAAAGATACGTCCCCAAACTATCATCGTTTATTTCTTTATCAAGAAAAATGGAGGCTCCCTTATCAGCATTCTAATTAAGGTCGATTTGAGTGAGAGATTTTATGTACCTAGGTGAGAGTTAGTACTCCTCAAAGGTCGCCACAACTCATCTTTGATTCTAAACCTAATGGTAAAAGTCGGGGTAGGAGGCTTCCTTTGTAAGTTTGAGGTGCAATTTAATGGAATTGAAAGCTAAGGGTAAAAATTGATGCATATATATTGTCAAGTTTAGTGTTAAAATGAAATTTTTTTCCCGTTACCTTTACATGAATTGTGCCCCCAACTTGAAATAAAATTTGTGTTCAAATTTTGAAAATATAGACCGTTGGAGTATGGATAGGAGTAGCTTAAAGTCTAAAGTATAATACTAAGTATGGATGTGACTTGTTCGAACTATCACTCGATCTTAGAGGCCAACCTATGAGACCGACCAACTAGAGGATAGTTATTGTCTCACAACCACCTAACTCCGCACTACCTGCATGTTCGTTGCATTTATGCTAAAATTCACTAAACGTGCAAAGTTGTCGAATAACCATTCTTATCTCTAAATACCTATAAATTTTAGAGTTCACTCCGTCCATAGGTACGTGAGATCGATTGCTCGACTTTATTATAATATATCATATGGAGAGTGACAAAAATATTGGAGTCCTTCCCTTTATTTTGCAGGTTCTTTCTCATTACGTAGAGCATTCAAATTTTAGTAAATAAACACTAAAATGGCCACTTTTTGAACAAACAATTTTTTAAAATACAAAGACTCTCTCTCTCTCCATCTTTCATTTCCTCGGTCTTGAATTATATAGAGAGTTAATTCCACGAAGAACTTTGGCGCTATTTAGTATGTCCATTCCCTCACCGAGCTTTAATTTGTTCGTCCACAACAGATTCTCTTTCGCGAATCAGTTCTATTCGCTTCTCCACTTCTTTTTTCCTTTTTTTTTTCTGTTCGTTTCTGATTCCCGGTTCTAATCTTTTTCGTGCTGGATTTATGTGAAGAAACTCTGTTGGTTGAGAACGAGTGATCCAGTTCACTCACTCACTCCGTTTGCTTCTTCTTCTTCTTTGTTTCACTTTTTGAGTTGAGAATGAGTTCGTATAATTTTGAATTCTGGTGACTGGACGAACTCATTGTTCGATCGCTTTCGTGGTGAAACATTGAAGCAAATTTCTCGTCGATTGTGAGTTTTTTTACATATCGAGGGAAGATTAAATTGAAATTTTCACCTGATCTTACTAAATTTTCTTTCTAGTTAATCGGTATAGAGCTGAATTCAGAATAGTCTATTAATTTAGTCTGAAAACGATTTTAGAGTATTAGTATTTGTTTGTTGTGAAAATCTTATGGGGTCTTAAATAAATTAATTCGCTTATTTGTTCTAATATGGATGATCGTCTTCTGTTTTTTGTTTTTAGTCTGGGCTGCGATGATCATGTTCAATTGGGGTTTTTCTTTTATATATCAATGCCCCCAAATTCTCTGTTTTAGTCATTCTGGTTTTTGTAATTTGATTTTGCAGGACAATTGTTTGATGCAATAGCCGAGTGAATTGTTTCTCAACAGAGTTGAATATGGGTATGAGACTTCTGGAAATTCATCCCCAGGAATTGAAGTTCGTCTGTAAGTCTACAGAATCAATCAATTGTTATTTATTTTCTTGTTTCCAATATGCTGGTTGCCGATGATTTCTGGAAGCATTACTGGAAATAGTTGCTGCCCTCTTTGCTCCCTGTCAATTTGATCTTGTGTGGGAAAAGCAAAGTGATTTTCTTGTTTGAATGTTTTTTTAATACTTTTTAGCTTTTGTCCCAATGTATGTTTCTTACTCTTCCATTTGTACTTTGTCTGCTTATTGATCACGGCCGAAGGGTGAGTTTTGGATTTTTAGCTGACTAGAAATATTTTTCCGAATTCTTGTTGCTGTTTGATTGCATAGGGAGGAGTGATTTTAAAAGTTATCAAAATACTTTAAAAAGTATTTCTTAGAAGAAGTATTTGAGTAAGTTTGAAATGACTTTTGGAAGAAATACTTTTAGGTGGACTTTTTTCATGAGAGAAGTAATAATAAAGTGCTTACTTTTGAAGTATTTTAAAGTATGTTAAGTATTTTTATAAAATTAAAAGCACTTTTGACTATAGTATCAATCACTATGGAAATGTTGGAAAAAAAACTGCTTTTGATTAGTTAAAATTAGTTTTCCCTCTTCTAAAAGTCATACTAAACTCATCTTTTAGTGCTTGTTATAAAAGTTTGTATTGAGAGAGTGTCTTAAAAAGTCATCCTAAGCGGAAGTTTTTATGATCAATATGAAATATGCATTTGTACATAATACTTTTTGTGATGTCCGGTATTTGATTTACTAAGCTACCTCAATTGAAGTGTCACGTCTGTTTTTCTTAATATATTTTACTGATTTACTACTAGGACCTTGTTTTCTTTTGATTTTTTATTTTGTCTGAATAAGGCACTTTATTTTTCTGTTTCACTTTATTTTCCAAATTAGTACCAAGTATTCTTCATATTTTCCTTCTATTGCCTCCAGTTGAACTAAATAAACATAGTTCGTGCTCAATTCAACTAACAAATAATACGCTTGACCATGTTGCTTTTAAGGTATGGGTTACCAATCCTCCCTCTATCGCTGTTTCTTTTCTTCTTTCTTTTTCTTCTTTTTAAAAACAAAACTTAATTAACATTATTTATGATACATTATGTAGAAATAACATGCTAGGTTGCATGCAAGATAATGGACAGAGTTTCTTTTTCAGGTTAAGACCACATCCCCTAAGAATTACTTTGTACGGCCAAAGGTCGGAATCATTGAGCCAAAATCAACCCGTGAATTCACAGGTATGTAGTTTTTGACATTTAGTTAAGTTATTTCTTTTGACTTTTGTTTCAGGAGGGGAAGGGGAGTGTATTTTATCTATAGATGTTGAAACATTGCAGCTATGAGAGTGTTCTTTCATCTTAAATAGCTTTAATGAAGCCTCAGTGAGTCTACTTTCTTCTTCTGCTTTAAACATCTCTGCCCAATTAAATTTATCATCATTTTTGGAGATGCATCTTCTTCTTATTCTTATGATTGGTTCAAGTGCTTGCACTAAATTTTTAATTGATATGGGTTTAATTTTCACATCAATGTTTTGTAATTATTGTTTTCCTGTTTGGTAACCTTCTTCTTCTTCTTATTCTTATGATCGGTTTAAGTGCTTGCATTAAACTTTTAATTGATATTGGTTTAATTTTGACATCAATGTTTTGTCATTATTGCTTTCGTGTTGGTTACCATTTTTGTTTTTTCTTAAGTTTACAAACAGTACTTTCATCTATGTGTTTTTTTTTTTGTTTTATTATATATTTTTTAAAAACATTTTTAAAATCTAAGCAAAATGTGAAAACTAAATATAGTATTTTTTTTTTTGTAACTTGTTTTTGTTTTTAAAATTTTAAAACTAAGAATTCAAGTTAAAGGTGAAAATCTCACCAAAGAAATGGCGAGAAAACTAGCATAGTTATTAAAAATGAAAAACTAAAAACAAAATTGTTATTTAAGAGGACTTCACTATCCATTTATATATCTTTTTGAGCCCCGGATTTGCCTACCTTTTTCATGCTTTCAAAATTTTATTCAATGGCTCTTAATGTAGTTAGGATGCAAGCACAAGAGATGGCTCCACCTGATATGCTATGCAAAGATAAGTTCTTAATTCAGAGCACAGTAGTTTCTGCTGATACAACTGATGAGGACATAACCTCAAGCTTGGTAAATGTTTATAGTAGTATTTACTATGTATAGTTGCCTCTGTTTTGGAGTCTCACCATTCTTTTTTTTTTTGGTGCAGTTTGCAAAAGATGTTGGCAAGTACATGGAAGAAAAGAAGTTGGGTGTAACCCTTGTTAGCCCATCCAGCTCCCCAATTGATGAAGCATTAAAGGAGGAGTTTGATGTCGGAGTTTCAGAACCAAATAATCTATGCACAGCAGTAGAGAAGGATCTGGACCGTGAAACTTCAAACAAAAGTGATGAAATGTTCAATGTAGGTGATAGCCTGCCTCCAAAATCCATGGTTAAAATTTCTCAACTCATGTCCTTTTTACACCCTCCTCTCTCTCTCTCCCAAATTTATGCTTGATATAAAATTCGTTCACTTTCATTCCAAGTTCAGTAGGATGCTTAGGTTAGCATTCATGATACAGTGTTTTAAGAACACATTCTAACCCTGGAACATGAAAACTACTTAACACATTCTAAGTTTGGCACGTAAAAAATTGTTAAATGGTTTGCTGAATCTGTGCTTAGTTGCATATTTCATCTGTATCTAGTTTTAACCATGTGTCTTTGTTTATCAAATTATGGAATTGGAATGGCGGTTTTCATATGTATTGTACCAGGTCCCTGACAATGTTATGGAGCCGAGAGATGTTGGTAAAGGGGAGCCTGAACCGGCAAGTTTAGCTGACGACTTCATAGAAGGCGATGAGGAGGACCTGGATATGATAAAACAGGTTGAGGAGTTGAGGTTAAAGCTCACTGAACTTGAATTAAAGCTCTGTGAGGTCAGCCTTCCGCAAAATATTGCTCCCCTATTGTGAACTCTGAGCATAATGATAAAGTGGAAAAAGATGTCCAAAAGGCTTATTTTACTGTCTTAATTGAAAAGGTTCTACCAAATAGTTATTTGAGTTCTTAAACGTCTTTTATTTACAGGCTAAAGTTGCCATTTCAAAGCTGAAGGAGGAGAAGAGAATAAGCATCCAAGAAACCGAATTCTTGCAGCAGAATTTTGTAATTTCCTATACCATTATTTTCTTTTGTCTCAATCATATAATTTCCATGTTCATGTGACTCTTTTATTGTTGCCACACGGTTTATAATTTCGTAGTTGTTGGTCTGTTGAAGTCCAAATATATTTTGTTTCTGTCAACATCCTTAGATCCCTACCTGAACTTGCTCAATGTTTTCTTTGGTGGATTGAAATGAGGTTAAGTTACAAATTTAGTTCATGAATTTTTTAGTGTGATATTGATTTAGTTTCTAAATTTAAAAAGTTTTAATTATGCCTCTAAACTTTGAATAGTAACTATGTGTCGTCATGCTTGTTAACACCGTTAATTAAATAAAGATTCCACATTTTTAGTGGATAAAAGGACATGACATAGTAGAAAAAAATGGCTTGAGTGCACATTTGGACAAAAATAGCGTGACATGGCTTATTAAAGGGATTTGATATCTTGAATCAACAGAGAGTACCTTCCTAGTTGTCTAGTTGTGCACTTCTGCCATTTGTCTACCATATGATATCAAAATCAGCCAATGTTTGTCCAATAGGTACGTCAATATCATCATTTAGTTAATCATCTTAACAATAAGAACTATATAGAATGACAATTCAAAGTTTAATGATAACCATAAATTTAGGGACTCAATTTGTAGTTGAACTTTGAAATAGTATGATACTACGACTATGGAGATTCTGGTTTCGACCAATGGATCGGAGAATGTGAAGCCATTTTTAGTCGGACTCTTGCTAAATTTAACATCTATATGTTCTAGTTTTATAGCTGCAAAATTGTTGTACTATTTGTTTTGTATCTCATTTTTTGAATTTTGCAGTCGGAGTTAAGGAAGAGCGAGTTGATCAAAAGAGTTCAAGTCGGGTTTCCGCTTCTGTATCTTTACATGGTGGCGCTGATATGTACTTTTCTGGGACGCCTCTTACGGTAATGAAGAGATTGTTAGTTCTATTCTCTATGAGTTTCTATAATGTTCAAGGTGGCATTAGTATAGCTTGTAGTCCAAAACTTATAGTCGTATAGGTTCCTATTCCCCTTGTAATTGATCGAAGTGTACAATCTAGCAGTCCAGGTAGTGTTATCGCCAACTTGAGCATAGTTTAGTTCGACTTTTCTCTATATTGTAATGTAATGTTGTAAATAATAATAAGCTCCCAAGGGATCTCTTGGTCATATCGGTGAGCGGGCAGGAGAGGTTTCAGTAGGCTCACTTGAAA